GGGGTGGCGTCGGCCTGCCCCGAGGAAGCCGGGAGGGAACGCCAGCGCGCGCGCTCCCCGCGGTCCAGCCCGCGTAGCAATTTGGGGGGTTAGACTTCGGTGGGAAGATAGCTCGAAAGCTCATCTTGGAAGGCCACTGTTACCGCCTTTCCCTGCGTGATTCAGAGCCTCCCCTCTCACGCACTCAAAATTATTCGGGAACGGAGGAATGTCGAGGATTCATGGGGTCACAGTTCACTAGGCATTTGTCCTGCCCCAAAGCCTTTTGGATCTTTTGATTTGAGATTGATGCATCACCGGCCTATTTATTCCCCCTCAATTTTGATAGAAAGTTTAGACGCAAAACTGAAGCAAAACACTCAAATGACTTGGGTGCATGGGAATTCCTGCACTAGCATTTATTGAGAAACTTGTGTGCCAGGTGAGGCTCTGTATGTATTTAAAGCCAACTCCAGCATCATTTACAATTTAAAAAGACCATTTTTTTAACCTCAGTTTTTAGATTTTAATCAAGAAAATGATTTGCTGTGGGAAGAGAAGTTTCCTGAAAGAACAGGCGTTACTGAATTATTCCAGGTAATACTTTTGAAATTTCATTAGAATGCACATTCTTACAATATAAATTCATACTTCTCAGAGAGAAACATTTTACCTGGAAAATAGTTTCACAGAGAGCCCTGAGTGAGCGATCATCTCTACCAGGGTTGGATAGATGGCATCAGCCATGGTAGAGAACTTTGTATAATGGAGTACTGATGTTTATGGCAGCAACGCTAAAGGGGGCATAGGTGCAGGTTGCCCTTCGTCCTCCAACAATTTTTAACAGCTCTTTGGATAGTGACACCTCCAGCTCATCACTCAGAGCCAGCCCCTCAAGGGGCCGAATCTTCGAAATTACCTCCACAGGATGTAGCATATCACTGAATCTTGCTGACACCACCACCACACACACTCTTGATTACATTCCCCAGATAATTTCTGTGGTAATAGTTTAACAAATGCATAGTTTGTCCTAATGGGAGCTGGCTAGAATATTCCCTAAGACCCAGTCTTTCCCCTTTCTTGTAAATAAATGGCCTTCATGGGGTCTTTTGGAAATAGTTCCCCATTCCCTGTTATTTTTTTGTGTGCTGTCACCTGAGAGAATCATTGTAATGTGGAAAATACTGTTAAATATGTTTTCTAAGAGCCCTACCTAAGTTACCTGCAGGAGCAGCTTTGCCCTGGTTTCTGAATTTTAGAGGCTTAACAGGTACTTTTTAAAATCTTTGGAAGATTTCTGCTTTCGTAGCAATATCAATTGATTTTTTTTAATTGTGACCACGAAAATAGCACATGCCTCTTGTAACTAAGCTATATAGAACTACATAAACTTTTTAGTTTATGTAGTTCTATATAGCTTAGTTACAAGAGGCATGTACCACCACCCCACAACAAAAAATTCCCTCTTCTCAGAGATAACTGTTAACAGTTTGATATAGCTCTTTCCAGACTTTTTGTTTGATGTGTAGTATATTTTCTGTTATTTATTATATGTTTCCTAAGATTTTGACATTCCAGTGATCATCATTGTTTTAGTTGATTGAAGATTTTTTTCTTGGCACTCTACTAATTTTTGCATTCTTTGTTTTCTAAAAGACTTCACACGTATCATTATCCGAATCTGATATTCCATCCTCAGAAAGTACTGAGTTACCTGTGGACTGGAGTATTAAAACTCGACTCCTTTTTACCTCTTCTCAACCTTTTACCTGGGCAGATCATTTGAAAGCACAGGAAGAAGCTCAAGGTGTCATCCAGCATTGTAGGGCAACAGAAATTACTTTGCCTCAAAGTCTACAGGTAATTCTGAAAGCAAAAGGCTATGTTTTAAAGTAATAAATCAAGTGTAAAATTTACTTCTCTGCAAAATATCACAAATATTTCCTTCCATTAAGTTTTTCTTCTGACATTTAAAGATACAAAGACTTGGAAATTTTATATTTCGCAAATGGTGTTTTCATATAGTTTTTTAAATCAGATTCAGTAACTCCCCATTAGAGTCCTGTCCTGAGAAATAGTCAGTGTCGCAGGGAGGCATTTTTTAACTATTCTTTTCTAAGGCTTTGTGAAAAAGAAAATATAAAGAAAAAAATGAAAAGCAGTTGAGTAGGATTGCAAAGGCAGATTGGTTATTTTACTTTCTCACATAGTGAATACTCTTTTAAATGCGCTAACTCCTGCTGCTACCTAGATGATGGTCTGTTGTAAACTTAGTAGAGTTGATGTTAGTAGAGTTAGAATGTTTTTAGAGAAATGTAATAGCATTACTTTCAAGCTACTCATCAACTCAAACGAGGTTAAAAGGGGTTACCTAAAAGAGGCCTTGGTACATCTTTTTCAATAAATTAATCAGGATTTGTGATTCATGTCACTTTTTGCTGGCTACTTTTGAAACTGTTGTGAGGGGAGGGGCCTTGAATGTCGTGTTGCCTACACACCCCTACCTTTATGATGAAAAAGATAGTCATTGTTCTCAAGAATGGTAGAGGCAGGAAAATGTTCCTATTTGTGTTTAAGAATTCCTTCTGATACATGATTTAACAGACTCTAATTGCCAGCAAGAAAGGTTTTCTCAAACAAGAATAAACTTTTTTAGCCCCTGTAACAGTTAGTAACACTTTCCTATAGGAAGCAGTAAAGATAAGTTTAATATATTCAGTGTCCTTTTAATGAAATTTTATGCTTCTAATGGGGCAACTATTGTCCAATATCTCTGGATTTTAGGATCCCAGACTCTCCACTGAGCTTCGTTGTGCCTTCCAGCAGAGCCTTATCTATTGGCTCCATCCTGCTTTTCCTTGGCTATCACTGTTCCCTCGTATTGGAGCTGATAGAAAAATAGCTGGAAAGACAAGCCCTTGGTCAAATGATGAAACCCTGCAACACATTTTAATGAGCGACTGGTAAGATCAGTAAAAACTTGTGCAACCCAATAGTGAATCCTCATTTTAGCAGTATTCTCTCCTTATATTATCAAGGTATGGAAATATTTAGTGGTAGAAGTAGCTCTGTGTCCTTCTGAATTATTATATTTAAACGGTTAATAACCAACATTTAAATTGTTTACTTTTTTAGTAATTGTTTTACTCTATGCAGTTGTGAAATGTATATAAGTGTTTGGTAAATATGCATAGACATAATTCTTTAATATTCTTGTCAATGGCTGCTTCCTTTCTCAGCAGAACCTGTTCAGAGAAAGTCAGCAACCAATTATCAATTAAATTTTATTTAAAGAAAAAATGGTTAGCGTTTAAGTGGTAAACACTATTTGTTTAAGTATTTAGAAGTCATCTGTGAGTCCCATGACCAGTTTTAGTTCTTTAAAAACAAAGTTGTATAGAACGTCAGAAATTCAAACCATTATCTGTAATGTTTGTATTGTGTTTTAAATCAGGTGAGTATCAAACTGAATTATACAAAATTAAATTTTAGATGTTGAGTTAAATGTAATACCTAAAGAAAAATTTTGTTTCATAGGTCTGTGAGCTTCACCTCTCTATATAATCTACTGAAGACAAAACTTTGCCCCTATTTCTACGTTTGTACCTATCAGTTTACTATCCTGTTCCGTGCAGCAGGATTAGCAGGAAATGATGTAATCACGGCTCTCATGTCTCCTACAACTCGAGGAATAAGAGAAGCTATGAAAAATGAAGGTAAAACTATAGGTTAAAATGAGAATACCACACAATATAGTAAATACTTTTCTTGAAAGCTCGAAATTGAATTATCTTTTACCTGTTGAATTGTCTTTTACTGGTTTTACCAATATTATTTAAAGAAATGTTCATTTGATTTTTTTTTTTAGCGGTTATTTAAGCTGTCCCTTATACATAGCTTTAAGTTAATGGTGTCTCCTTCACTGATCTCTGAAAACATATGGGGTTGGAAAGTCCCTATCTGAACATACTCCTCTAGAAATTCCTTTATAGTACAAATTGCCTACCCCCTTTAAATAACAGTTTTCAGGCTGGGTCACACCATTAATGGATTATAAAATCTTATATAGTGAGTTCAGTCAGCACTTTTTAAAAAAATGAAACAAAATATACTGTATGAAAGAGTACCACATGTAAGAATATGGATTTTCCTCAACCTTTTGTTTCATGGATGTAAGTGTAGGTGTGGGTGTGTTATGGGCTACTGCCAAGAAAGCTTGAAAGCTACTGACTCAATAAAGTGTAAAGACTTCACATTTTCTTTTTTTTCTCCCCACCCCCAGCCCTGACCACTTAACATTTTTAAATTTTGTACCCTAGAAATAGGGCACACCTGTTAAATCCTTTTCAATTATATTAAAGAAAATTAAGTTAAATTTTTCTTTTCGTGTATAGGTATTGAATTTTCTCTGCCTTTGATAAAAGAAAATGGCCATGAGAAGAAGAAAGCATCTGGGACAAGTTTGGGACATGCGGAGTATGTGATTATAATAACCTTTTACGTCATCCAGGGACGTATAGATTCAGTGCAATAGTTTAATAAAGGAAACAGCTTTATAAATTGGAAACTAACTACAGCAATTTTTTAGGGAGCAAGCAATCAGTGATGAGGATGAAGAAGAAAGTTTGTCTTGGCTGAAAGAGATGGGTGTGCAAGATAAAATTAAAAAACCGGACATGCTCTCTATCAAGCTGTATCCTTTCATTTGCTGTTAACTAGAATCGATTTTCATGCCATTAAGTTAATTAGCCATGTAATATGGACTGGCAGTTTTATTTGACCATAATCTTAAATATCTTAAGATCATATTAAAACTAATTCTCTATCATGACATTAAATAAGGAACTCCTAAGTACCCATAAACTGAAAAATTACTAAGCTACTTAACCATTTTGGTTAAGTTTATGAGGGGAACAGCATATATATGACTAGAAATTTGTTTTTGTTAGGTGTCAGTTTCTAGCAAATTCAGATAAAAAAATGATTTTGATTTAAACAGATGCTTTATAATTAATTGCAGTGAAGAGGGTAGCAAGAGCATTTCCAGTTTGGAATGCAAAAGAGGGATCCCAGATGATTCAGAATCAAGATAACTGATTTTCCTATTAGTATGAGATTTGCATTTGCTGTTTCCTTGATTGTCATTTTCAGACGTAAAGAGAAACATGAAGTACAAATGGATCACAGACCTGAGTCTGTTGTGTTGGTGAAGGGAACAAACACCTTTACACTGCTAAATTTTTTGATCAACTGTAAGAGTTTAATTGCTACTTCAGGTCCACAGGCAGGACTTCCACCAACCCTCTTATCCCCAATAGCTTTCCGAGGTGCCACAATGCAAATGCTTAAGGTAATAAAAAGAAAAAAAATTCTACACTAATCCTCATAATCTAGCTTTTTTAAAAAGTACTTTTCCAAGGATAAATCTTGATTTGTTTTTAGTAACTTCTAGCAGTTTTACATGGTACATATTTGTTTTTGCTTTCCTCCCGGTAAAAAAAAATTCTTTTAAAGTTATATCAGAGTCACCTGAAAATATCTAAATTATATGAAAATAATTTTTTCTTATTAAATAAGTGTAACTGGCAACAAAAGCAATTTAGTGTTAATTTCCTTTTTTTGCCATAAAAACTGCTTAATCTCATTTTGTCTTTTAAGCATGTTGGGATCTTTGTCACGAGTCTTAAATCTTTGTCTTATTTCTTACCCAATGAAAGAACATAGCCAAGAATATGTTATAGATCTCAAAAACTGGATCACGGTTAAGTGAAAATAATAACTGTACAGGCATACCTCATTTTATTGCACTTCGCTTTATTGTGTTTCACAGATGTTGCAAGTTTTACAAACCGAAGGCAAGGCCCTCCACCAGCAAAAAGACTACGACTCACTTTATTATACTTGCTTTATTGTGGTGGTCTAGAACCAAACCCGCAATATCTTCGAAGTATGCCTGTATATTAAACATGTAAATACAAAGTATATACTGAATGTTAATAGCAGTAGAATCACTTTTTTTGTCTTCCCAATATTGTGTTGAAAGTGTATTACTAAATCAGAATGAATACCATGTGAAAAAATTGTATTTCCTAGAATATAAACTGGCAGTCTCATAATTTGGAGAGGATGCTGCAGACTGAGAATTTACTACACTTTTATTTATATAGCATTCTTTCCGTGTCTTATAATCTACTTTTGTTCCATAACTATTAAGGGGAAAAACTATTGAACACATTTTTAGCTAGAGACTAAAGCTTGGTAGATGACCATAATTCTCTCTAAATTTTTTTGAAGGCACGAAGTGTAAATGTGAAAACACAAGCTCTTTCTGGATACAAAGATCAATTTAGTTTGGAGATTAAAGGTCCCATCATGCCTCATTCTCTACATTCTATAACCATGCTACTCAAATCTTCACAGAGCGGGTCATTTTCTGCAGGACTGTATACACATGAACCAACTGTTGTATTTAATATCTGCCCATCAGTGGATAAAGTATTGAATAAGGTAAGTAGACAGCTATAAACACTGTTTTAGCTATAGCTAGTTTCCTCAAACTTTCGTAGATGAAGTGATTTCTTATGAGCCAAATTTGTTTCAAGTTACTAAACTACTAAATTTTGTCAGTTAGAATTACTAAGGGAGGGATGTCTTTCATTTTTGTGGGTAAACTTCATGAATTTGGGCTGTTGTACTCAGCAGTAACTAAAGAACTTCCCCCAAAAAAAGGCAAGTTATACTCATTGTTCTCTCAGATCTAGAACTTAGTGCCTGATTTATTATAAATTATGGGTATTTAACTGTAATCGCCTTTAGTTTTGGACATCTTTATAAGTTTTATTTAGCAGTTATAATTAAGACCTTTAAAATTGCCTCATACTTTTATCACTTTGACTTCCTTATAATGGACACTTGTCACTATGTAAAAATTCTTTGGATCTTCTATTGATAAGAACAAGGCATTTGTAGAGTTCTCATTGTGATTATTAAAAACTTCGAAGACTGATGTGCTTTTTACTGATTTGTATACAAATTTTCACAGGAGACTATTCGTGAAGAACTTGCTAACTGTGGGTTGCATCCTAAGACTCTGGACCAACTTAGTCAAACACCAATACTGGGCAAATCATCTTTACGGAACGTGGAAATGAGTGACTACATTTATAATTGGAGATCCTGAACACCAAAGTAAGCCTAAAAGGAATCTTTGAGGAAAAAAGCCTTCTAACAAAGAAATTGAAGATTATACCTTTGGCTTTAAAGTTCATATTGGAATTTGAAAGGAATATAACTTTAAAATATTCAAATGTTTATAAACATTAACCTTTTACGGTAACATTTTTACATGCATTTGGCAGGTTTTAAATCAACTTTTATTAGATAATCATATATTAAAACTCACTTTTAAAATACCTCAAATAAATTGAATGGGAATTCTAGATCCCTGTCATCAAACTACAAACAATAGAAAATTGATGTTTTTCCTTGCAAATAGGAAATTGAGGCTAACTATCAATTCATTCATGGCACTGTGACTAATGGAATCAGGGCAAAACTGTAACAATTTACCTAGGATTATTAGGCAGGTTCTAGTTTATAAGGATAGGAAAAAAATATAGACAGTATCTACTGAGCTGACTGTTGATGCTTCTACCTTAGTTGCTTTCCTACTGATTTACAATTCCTCTACTTTCAAATATATATGTATGTTTTTAATGCATGTTCATTCAGGTAAGGGCATTTTGTATTCCATGTAGAATATTGTTGAGTTGTAAAGTATGTTCAGCTGTCATGGTAGTATTTTAATGTGAGATAATCTATGTGTGTGTGTATGTATGTATGTATGTATGTGTGTGTGTATGTGTGTGTGTGTGTGTGATTCAAATTTTCTTAAATAAAAGTGTTTAGAAATCAAAAGCACTGGGTAAAGAAATAATAGTATTTAGTGAAGTAGTATGTGTTCACTTTATAATCCAGAAAATAAAACACCACATTTATTCCAGAGAAGTTTATATTTGGGCCTTACGCTTTTGAAAATAAAGTTGAGACATAGCATATGAATACCACTGTAATACACATGAAATATTCTATCAGACCCTAAAAATTAACATAAACTTAAACTTTCTCATAGTCAACAAAATAGTGGCCGGATGCCGATTTTATTAGATAAGTTGGTTACAGCATTTTAATTATCATTTTACGTCTATCTAGGTGTAGCTGAAATTCAAAATGCACATCAAAGGAAAACTATATCACAACTCAATGCCATACTAAATGTACTTAGCCTCTGCAGAATTCTAGTCAGACTTCATTTTAACTCCCTTCTCATGGCCCAAGTGGCTTTGACAGGAACACAGAATTTAGTGCTGATCATCACAACATACCACTTTTTTTTTTTTTATAACTTCTACAAAATTTTAAGGGGAGATGGTGGCATTAGCCCTGTGGAACAGATCTTGCTTGATTACCTCAATAACACTGGCCCAGTATCTGTCCAGCAGAACGCATTGTGAACTAGTACAAGGTGCACAGCCCTTCACTGATTACAGGCAAGTGTTACAGCAGCCTAGCCATAAGGAAGGGGAGTTACATCATAGTACAAAATACAGTATAAAAGCGTTATTTAACATTCCACACTGAAGATTACGGATGCCTTCAATCGTTTGGATGTTAGCCACTTAAACAAATACATCACTAAGGTAAACAATATAAACATACCAAAACCCTGTATGGTTAAATACAATTTCCATGGTACAAAAATCAAAGCCTGGAGATGTTTGTACAGATTGCTTTTTACACAATGTCTTAAATTGCCAAATATTTACAACATTAAAGAGGAAATACATTTTGATGCAGAGTAAAATTATCTGAAATGATTAATATAAAACCTCAATCTATCTACGTGAGGCACTCCTGAAGCAAGTGGCATTAGCCATGAGGTCCTTTGGTACAAGGCCCATTGCTTGAAGAACCACAGTAGCTGCTGTGGCTTTAGCATGCTTCTTATTAGGGCTGGCAAAGCTGGGCTGGTAAGCGCTTCCATTTATCAATACCTATTCAAGAAAAACATACAATTGGGCTGGTAAGGGCTTCCATTTCTCAATACCTATTCAAGAAAAACATACAATAAGAACAGCATCAAACTTTAATATCTATTAGCTTTGTATTTTTTCACTAAATGCTAGAAAACTAATTTATGAAATATAAAACCCATACGATATAAGTCGTTAATCTCAACCCAGAAGCAGCAAATCATTTAGGAAAAGGGACTGCAAGTTAAGAGCAGGTCTCCAAATTGGAAAAAAACAAAAAACAAAAAAAAAACTTGATAGAACTACTAAATTCCCCATGTTCCACTAGAAAATGTCAATAAATTGTTCACCAGATTTTGCCCATACTTTCCAACATTTTTTTAAACAGGATATTAAAAGGTCATTATCAAAGAATACTTAAATGTTTAAAAACCCCACATACACACACTGCCACCCCACAAAGTATATTAATCCTACAATCATATACTTATTCCTCACCCTCTAACGCTATCATTAAATTAATAAATATACAATTAATGCAGAAATTCATATTTACCCTAAAGAGAAAATGTTTACGATGATCAGGGCCACTATCATGGACCAACAGAAATTCAGGTGGTTGCCACCTTCTCTTATTACATATTTCCATCAAGGCAGACACAGGATGTTTGCCTGCAGAGAAAAAAAAAAATAGTTATTTCCACCATCTGTGGCAACAAATTATGAATTCATGGTGAGGGTGAGCAAGAAGAAATTCAAGTGTACCCCTCACCTGACAGATCTTTCATTGCAGCAGAGAAGTTCCCAGACCTCTTTTGTGCTCTTTCTCCTACAGCAACAAGACCTTTAAAAAAAACAGTCAATGTTCATTGAATAAATTTCAAAGATCGTTTTAAATTATAATATAGAAACAACAATCCATGCCTTCAAATATAATATTCAACAAATTCTCACTACCTTTGATTTCTATATCAATCTTGACTCCTGTTTTGCTGTTTCAATATGTAAATCTATGCTTTATATTCATATGTACTACCATTAGAAATTCTAAAAATCAGATGTTCAGAAAACAAGAATTTAACATGACTATATATATAAATTTAGTGCCATAATTACCAAACTCTCCAGGTCTTTTTTCTAAGTTTACAAAGTAGTGGCTATTTACTCCAAGCGATTTCTAAAGGTTTCCAATTCCTCAAAAAATGCTGCTCAGTTAAATATGTTCCCCAAAAGGTGAGGATTTTAGGACACACATACACCACACACATAAAAAAGTGAGAAAGGCTGTCTCTATAAATAAATGGGTCCATTTTTTCCCAGCAACAAAGCCCTTTCTGATTTATTAAATGCAAGATATTCCTAAAGACAAACACACCATCACTGCATAACCTCCCTTTCCAAAGTGGTCTAGCTATGTTACTATCCAAAATCAGTGCTTTCCCAATTTCCATTTATCCTAGGGATACTTTCTCAACCAGTAGTTTGAGAATTCTGCTGGTATGCTTTCCCAAACCTACGCCATGTTGCAATTCCAAAGAGAAGTTTCCTGGAATTATGCAGTGCATCCAGATGTTTTCTTACAATAAATCACCTCTTATGACAAAAAACATCTTATTCAACTTATACAACCAGTGCCACTGTGACATAATTAGCACAATGTCCTTTTCTAATTCAAAGTTTGAATTAATGCTACAATATAGGATGAGTCTCATGCTACTTCTAACCTATTTGAGTATCATTAAAATACACTCCTTCCAATTTGAAATAAGATGGCAACAGGATTCTATGTGGGTGACAATGCAGATATTCTGATGAAAAACATTTTAAAAAATAATAATTTGGTTAGATCTAGTCAGTTTCCAAAGTTAAGACAATAATTGCATTAACTTCAAGTTAACTTTCTATGTGATTATAAAGATAAGGAAAATAATTTTAAATCTTTCAGTTTTTAAAAATCAGGCTTAAACAAGGTACTGAAATTACAATGAACTGGCATCCGCATGTGATTATACTTAGGATACTTACTACTCTAAGGGAAGAAATTATTTGAAAGGAGTAAATTGGCTGTTACATGTTATCCAAGTGTATTTTTAATACTTGGCAACTACATGCAGGCTTCATCAATAAATATCCAGATATCTGAGAACAGCAGCAAAATACAGGCAGATATAAAAGTTCCAAGGTGCCCCAAACAAAGGACAAAATGAAGAGGTAACGTTGTTGGCAGCTGGTCTACTATTCCCTAACCCCAATCAAACTCAATTACTGAGCTTGAAAAAGAGACGTGAAGAAAAAACAGCACTCTAATAGGAAATAAAGAGAATACTGAGACAAAATATCTGAGAAAGAAAATAAATCTGTCAAGAGAAAACAAAATGCCACTTTCTAAATATGAAATCTAGTTAAAATTTTAATCATATTTACATTTCTGTAATATTCCATAATTAATATTATGGAATATTACAGAAATGTAAATAAGTTGCCTTTTAAAAGCTCAAATTACTGTTTCCATCTATATGTATTTAAGCTGCTGAAAATGGGATAAACTTTCTTTCCTAACAAATATCTGTATATATACTAGAAGTGCCTCCAGTTCAGGATCAGACATCAAAACAATGTTATGACAGTAATGAGGAAACCCTAAATGTTAAACATTCCAAAAAAACCTTGTTACCTTTTCGGTCTGTTTTAAAATCAACTAGGATAGGTTCCTTATTTCCTTCTTTGTTTTTTCCTAATCCTTCTCCTTCTCTCCAGCCCATTTTTCTCATCAAAACGGCTCCCATTCCTCCAGTTACCGGGGCTGCTCTTAAGAACTGATCCTATCCAAAGAAAGAAAGGTAAAATGTCCCCATTTTACAGTTAGAATTTGACTGCCAACTCAGTGTAACTTTATTTTTTAAAAATCTCATTTTATTTTACTTCTAGATCTGTTATAGTTACAGCAATTAAATTTAAATGCTTCTTTACTTTATATACATACTGTATGTACTAATTATTTTCACATTAACATAATAGTATTTTCAACTCAAGGCAAATACATGGCAGTTTTAAAACAGTGACCCTCGTGCCCTCCTCCAAAAAAAAAAAATTAGAACACTCCTGTTTTCGTCCACTATTTAGGTTCACTGGTATCTCTTCTTAGCTTGCAAAATAAAAAGAAGGCAATGTTAAAACAGTCAATAATATTAATTGTCCCAGGTGTACCTAGTTAACAAATAAAGCCCAGAAATCATTTAGAAATAGTTTGGACACTGAAGAAACATACTGTTATCATCCAAAGTTTTCGTCCCCATTCTACCGTAAAGCAAGTATAAATATTTTACTTAGAAAATCCCTATGAAGCAAAAAGATAGTTCTTTAAAATAAATTTACAGTTATTGGAAGACAATCACATAAAATACCCTGTAATTATACCAAACTGAATTTGATTTCTTTCAAAACCTAGCTTGATGTTAAAAGACTTTTAAAAAACTCCTTAAATGTTTACATACCTAGGCCTCGGTAGCAGCAGTGTTGTGAATAGTAGGGCTGGCACTGACCGGGGCAAGAAGGCAGCTACAAGGATTTGGCCCTGAAACAAGTTTCCATACAGAGGGGTGAAAGTTCACAGGTTATTCTGTGAACAGTCATCTCTCTTGTATCCAACCCACTGAACCATAATTTCCATCAAAGCAGCAAAGCACTTAATGTCATAAGATGCACAACTATATACATTAGCATGGTCAACAGTCAATTATTTTCACACATTAAGAAATATGCAATGCCTTTTAAAGGACATCTAGGTATGTATAACAAATTACTGAACTCTACTGTTGATCTTTATGGCCATTTTCTTAAAATTTCATGACATCTCCAAATTATTTCCCCTTATTATTAAATTTTATATTTACATTCACTAGCAAATATATATTGTAAGTCATTAACTTATCAACAAGGGGTAGAAAATTTCAGTTAATCTAGGATTAGTATGCACTAACTAATCATTTTCCTGTATTGATAAGTTAATACTAAGTTTTTTTAGATCTTTGTTCTACACAGTGTAAAACTGTATATTATTATTTTCCCCCCAGCTTTTTACTTATATGCTAGGGAGAAAACATGCCAATGATCTGTGTGACTAGACATTAAGTTCAACAAGGTGCTCTGATGGAAGGAGGCAGCTGTGGAGGTAAAAACATACCCCTGGTTCAGTTCCTTATTTGGTGCAGGCCATGCAGTGTTGATGTATAAAGAGAAAAGTTAGCTGATGCTTGGATATCAACTGCCTTGTTGCTACACACCTAGAATGACTTTTACTTACTTCCAGGTTCATCCGCCCCTCTTTTCCAGGAAACACTCCTAAAAAAAAGGGCAACTGTGCAGTGTAATCCCCAAATAACAAATCCCCAAATAAGCCAGGCTTCCAATTTTGTTTCCATTCTCTAACATCTTCATCTGTTTCTTTGCCCCACTGTGTTTACAATTCACCAAAAAGCTGATTAATCTAGTGAGACTACAACAGTAAAAAATATTCATCAGGTCATGTCCACATAAATCATTCCATTCCAAAAAATAAAGGTTCTTTTAAAATCAGTAACCATTTTTAAATGTTTTACTGACAAAAAATAATAAAACTCTCCTTTTTCATCTAAGGAAATACTGCAACAAACTAAAAAGAATGAGAATGTTGGCATTCCAAGTAGTTTTTAACATATAAAGAGGGCGTTGGGCTATAGCAAGGCAAGAAAAAGCCAAATGATCATTTAAAAAATGTTTCTAAACACAAGTAAACAGGTTTGACAATGAAGATAAATGTTAATTTTTCTGTTGCCTAATAACGTTTCCACACATTCTAGCTCATTTTTATTAATATATTCCTTCCTTTATGTTACTAGCAAATATTCTTCAGTAACATAAAAATGGAACTTTTCCTGAAAGCACTGCTTTCTTCAGTATTTAACACAACTTTATCTCATGATAATTTATCAAAATGATTTGCAACATATTTACATGTAAAATGACATAAAAATCTGTCAACTGCAAGACTGGAAATGAAAATTAAGGGAAGTTTACAGGGAACCAACTGAATCTGTAAAGATTCAATTTTTAAAAATTAACATGTTTAGAAGTATGTTTAGAAGTGTTATGGATCAGCACTTCATTATAGAAATGAAGACCAAAATTTTACAATGTAATGGTCATTCAAAAGTTTCTACGGTGGTGGCGGGGTTCTACCTAGTAATGTATACGACTAATTATTATGTATCTAAACACCCTTCAAGTCTAACTTCCTAAAATACCGAGTACTCAGCTTCAAGTTTTAATAGTATTACAAAATTAAAACTGTTAAATAGATGTACATTTACAATTCTATAATTCTTCCCAATGAGATGAAAGCTATTTTTCAAAAACTATACAAGTTACTTTCATATTTGAAATACGGTATTATAATTAGTCCAAAATTAATTCAAACTTAAAAATATTTCGCTGGATTCTCATCTCTTTTCCAATAGTAATCCCTAGTAAACTACGTAAATTGTAATTTTCTTAATGAATCTGGACTCACTATGCATATGTTAAGAGTACAACTATTTCCCCCCCAAAATGGCAGGCAAAGTGAGAACATATATGTTTTATATTAATCTGTTAAAAAGAGGATCACCAGAGATAATGCTATCAAAATTGAAATAAACATGAAAGGTCCAAAGCAAACAAAATCTTCGTCTTTTCAGAAATTCAGCTCATTCACTGGCACTCATGCCAATTCTCCACAGGTACCCATCACATCATTACCACCCTGAGACGCATGAGTAAGGACTTGTTTTCATGTGACACTGAAATTCCAAGTAATTACTTGCCCATGATCACAAAAGAAGTCAGGAGTACAGCAGGATAAAGAAACCTTCCCAATCCATTAGACCACGTAGCCTCACAGTTTCAGCACTGCTATGCTGCCAGTACTCCTGAAACAAATTTCCAATCACCCATCCAACCAAACCACGACCCTTCACCAGAATGCATTTCTTCAGAAAACCCTTCTTAACCACCTAAGACTCCCCCAACAATGAGGCAGCCGTAGGTGGAGTTCACAGGTCTCATTGCAGGAATCTGAAACCAGGAGCACCTACATCTTCACAGCACGAGGCGTCCGTCCTCTCCCTTGAATTTAGGTCATATGTCCTGTTTTTTCATGAGATCAGTGGTTCTCAAATTGAGCCTGTGGATCACCAAAGGCCACCAGGGCCTAAATGGTGGTCCACAGATAGTATTCTCCATCCCCAACCCAACCCATTTGCCCTTCAACACTGCCCACCCCACGCTCCAGCCATCCTCCCCCAGCCTTCCAGTCCCATGGCAAAATCACCACATGCAGTGCTAATACTAGGGCCTCCCAACCATTTGCTATAATCAACAGCTAACAAACACAGGGATCTGGGGCTGAAGATCACAAGAGGGGTGAGGAATAGGGACCTAGGGAGCTTACAGGAGGGTGCAGGCACTAGGGAAGGGGAAAGAAGGGCAGAGGAATAAAGCAATGGAAAATCAGGGTGGTAGAGGGCTCTTGGGGGGCAGTGATCCACCAAAAAATAAACCTGTAATAAAGTATCCCATGATGAGAAAAAATTTGAGAACCACTGCTTTGAAATCGTAACGTTAGTTGTCCAACAGGAACTGGAATATTCTGAACAGCATCTGAGATACATTGTTAGCATTCAAAAGAGTTTTTAAAAACCACCCCCCAGAAAACCAGCGGCAGCAAAAATAAATAAATAAACAACCTCAAGATATAAACTGAGTGGCTCTTGAGCTATATTATACATTGGCCATTGTCTCATGAATCCGGTCCATCTTCAGTGTCCATCCTGGAGTACATACATATAGCAAATTTACTCATGAACTTTGGTTAGAGTCACTGGCCTCTTCGTGCAATTTTAATAAAACACTTCCTAAAAAATTTTAACTTTCTACTTATAAACACTTTTGTATGTGCATTATGTTGTGTACCTTTTTAATCCAGGCTTGGGCACCGGTATTGGCTAACTGTTCTTGTGTCAGAACCTGTACTCCTGTACTTCCTGTGAACTGGCCAGGAATTGAGTTCAGCTGAGCCCAGGCATCAATCTGAAGAAAAGATGCTTCAATTAACTAAGTAAAAATTATTTATATCTGGTTAAATTTCCACTGGTAGTAACAATTTAATTCACTAAATAAAATGGTTTTTGTTCCTAAAAAGGCTGAATAACAGGCTTAAAATCTAATTTTAAAGACCATATACTCAATTTATACATATTTAACATTGTTTCCCTAAACATTCCAAAGAAGTTGTTTAATAACATTTAGTGAATCTCATTAATAACATGATTTGAAATACAGCTCTAACATCTAAAAAGCATAGCTATCACACTCATTCTCCAACATATCACCACTGATATATGAAAATACAGAAAAGAGCTCATATGGCAAAGGGTCCCTCCCTTCCTGCTTACATATCTCATGTAAAATGCATTCCAAATTTTTAATTATTTTCTTTGAAGTATTATAAACCCAAAATAAATTCAAGATAATATGCTTATGCTTAAAGAGTAATACAGGAAACCGTTCACTTGAACATATACAATGGCTTTCTTTAAAAACTGTGCACTACATTAACCATGAGCATTTATCTTGAATCATTTGTCATTCATTTGTCATTCAAGGTATATTTACCGAACTCCTGATATTGTTGGGCAATGTATTTCCCATCTGTCTGAATGTATACTTATTATTTCTATATAGATCTACCACAGGAAGGTAGAGGAGAAATGGAGAAGCTGTCCATTGGAGGAGTATACACAATGGACAGTTTCTCCAACTCTGGACTCACACTGACTGGGTTTGAACCCCAAGCTCCTCCACTTAGTTTTGAGACCGTGGCCATAACTACGTAGTTTCTTCAGCTGGGAAACAGGAATTCATAATACTGCCTACACCTCACAGCGCTATTATGGGCACTTAACTATTTTTATATACCAGATTATAAATGCTATGACAACAGGCAACTTTTTCTATTTTACTCTCTCAAACAGTTACTGTCACATAGTACATAAGAGTACATAGTACAAAATTTATTTGTACTAATAAACACAGTACAAATGTGTAGCAGTTTGATAACATTCAAACATTTAAATCATTCATTTAAAATAAGTTAGCTAACTAGGATAAATTACTTATTCCCTTGGATTTTCAAGATAAGGATCTACATTTCAACAGCATGCCACAGATTCTGCTTATGTCACAACAATCTTGTGAAATTCTAATTTAGACATTAAAAACTGCTACATACCCGTTCCTGAGCTCGATTTAACATGCTCATGGCTTCAAGGTCAAATGCATTCTCACTGAGTCTTTTCTGAGCAAGTGCCCGCTCACTCATTGCTGTAGAGATGTCCACAGGCTAAGAAAGAGAACATAGATAATTATCTCAAATTATGACAGATCCCTAAATTCTGAAGTGTTGTATCTTTAGTTGCTACATATCAAAACAATAGTCTTATATACATTAATAATCTTGTAAAGTTGGTAGAAGACTCAAAAAGGTAAAGTAACCTTGGAAACTAAATTGCTTGTTACAAAGTATCAAAGGCAGTAGTTGAACTCAATCCAAAATCTGACGTATTCCATATTTTATCAAATTACGATCATAGAAAGTTCTGTGAACTGAAAACTCCTCAGCCTTCACTAACAAGTCATTTACAATAAACAGACTTTTCTGAACTCTTTTTAACTATTTTCTACTCATTAGCAGTTATTTTCTCCTATTGGCATAACCTTCAGAAGCAATAAGCAAGGTTCTTGACTAAGCAGAAAACCACTATCGTGTCAATGATCTCTCTACTCATCTATAGATCTTTTTATCTTCTTGAAGTTCTTCATATAGTTTGATCTTAAAACTCAATTTCTTCTAATATATTCACTATGTAAATAAATGAACCTTTTGTTTCTAGTTTATATACATTTATGACTGAAGTTAAACTATTTCTGTGGAGGTACATCACATAAAACACTTAAAATGAGGTATGTTTGAAATGTCATAGGTCCTCTTTTTCAAAGCTCATATTCTACCTGTTAAAAAAACTTACTCTAAGCAGAGGTGACTTTCTGATTTAACTTTTAAAAACATTTCATAATGTCCAGGAAAATTCTGAAAGGTAATTTTTAGAGCAAATTCCCAATTTGTCAGATTTGTGGAAGACTCAACCACAGAAGGAAAAATGCATCAAGTGAGTATCTGATGTTTTTTTATTTCTAACATTAAGAGCTCAGGTTAATTTGTATCAACTTACCAATTCTTAATATTTGTTTTTCTTCTAACATGACATAACCCATTAGTATTTCCTGGTTATTTCGCCCAAGAAAATTCATTTTTGGGAAATGTTCATCTAACACGGGAGGTTTTTCTATATTCATATACAAAGAATGATTAGTAACTACTGCATAGGTTTGACAAATATAAGGAAGTCAGTAAAATAAGTTAACAGCTAAGGATTTATTCAAAAAGCTAATAAGTAAAGGCTACCTGTAATTTGTGTATTTCAAAATACTTCTTTTAAAAACACCTGTATAGTAGAGAAGGGTGTATGACTATGAATAATAGTGTCTCACACATTAAGGATTACTAACCTTCCTCTTCCTAACTGTAGAACCCCTTAATCACTCCATCATTCCTAGTTATCTTGCTGAATCACCTAATATTCCTTTAGCAAGATTTTTCTTACAAAGTACTACAAAGTATAGATTCTTATATATGCCTTCTTAAAATGAAAGCAAAATTAAACTGAATTCATTCTGTAATTGTTTATTAAACTATAGATCTCATTAATGAAAGAGCTTAACTTTTTAGTTGACTAAATTATTCACACTAATCAGAACATTCCTGGAGCCTCTGAAAATCTAAGCAAAGACTGAAACACTAAAAACTTAGTATGTTCACTATTCACTTATAATTCTGACGGCTGGGACTTCTGGTCAGAATTTATATTCCTTTGGCCTACCTTAGATGTTTCCTAAACTCTCACGTAGGATTACTGATGTAATTTTAAAAGGCCCACCAAATATATCTCACATATACTGTTAATTAACCTTGCCAGAATTACTCTGGGTTTCATAGCAGTCTATAAACCTAAGTGTTAGAGTATTTAGGTATAAATAATAAATTTTTATTCAAAATAGTCTAAACTTGGAGGAGATATGGGGAAAATGTTACCTACCAACCATTCCCAAACCTTCCCTGATCCCCAATTTCCAAATATAAATTAGCAATAAAAATGTAGTTAAGATAGCTTTGAAAACAAATTTTTCCAGAATAAAATTAATTCTTCCCAACTGGAAAGCAAATGAATATACCTATCTGTGAATTCATCCTTCTATAAACATTTTATATCTTCAAACTTTTTTCTCTTTAAGCCTTTACTGTGGATGCAGGTAACCTAATGCTTCATCATTTTATCACCAGGATGAAACTTCTTTCAAATCTCTAAGTAATGTTTTATGTTAAATTCACATCTCACTCTGCAAAGAATTTTAATATAGCAACTTTGATGCTTAAATTTATTTGATAAAATTACAACTAGTTTTTTTTCCTAAGGTAATACAACTTTATTTGTTCTTCAACAGGCTTACAGAGTGAACTGCAAGTTCATGTCAAAATTTTATTACCAAATAATTTGACTATTGATTTCATATTCAGATTTTTTAAATGTGAAGAAATATATTCAAAATAGAATGAATCAGGATTATCTTAAGGATCTTCAAAAGTTCGCATCAATAAGCATGTTTTCAGGTTTTCAAGGTAACTCAGAATATACAATGCATAAAAAGCCAACTATAATATTCAAGGACTAGACTGTTATTATTAAAACACTCATCACAGCTAGCCTTTACAGCTGTACTGTCCAATATAATTTTCAACAGTGACAGCTAATAAGCACTTGAAATGTGGCTAGTGACTACTATATATTGGAGGGGGGGAGAGGAGAGAGAGAGAGAGAGAGAGAGAGAAAGAGGGAGAGAGGGGGAGAGGGAGGGAGGAAAAGAGAAAGAGAGGAGATGTGGGGAGGGAGGAATTAAATAGAGAAGACTGTCCAGGTCTTTGGGGCTGTTATAAGGATTTCAGATTTCAGACTAAGTGAAAAGAGAAATCAGAGAAGACTTTTGAATAGAAGAGTTACATGATTTGACCTCATGACCCTACAGGTTCAAAAGTTACATGATCACATTAACGGGATCCCTCTAGTTGCTGAAGGGAAACAAGGGCCAGGCAGA